AGAATGGAGGCTTGGGGGCTCACAGGACATGTGACCATGTCACCTGATACTGGAATCCATCTTAATCATGGGGCTGGGGCCGCTGGGGGTGGGGCCATGCAATGCTGCCCGGTGCCGGAGTTGGGGGCACTCTGGGACTGGAGGTGTATGGGGGGAGCCGGCGGCCACAGGTGGCGGGCAGGGACACACACAGAAACAGAGCAGGGCTCAGCTCCTCCAGCAGGGGGCAGCAGGAACACACCCACCTGGGCTCTGGGCTCCGGGCTCCGGGCTCCAGGCTCCAGCAGGGAAGGGGAGGCAGAAGGGGAGGGGGTGTTCTCGGGCAGCGAGGGAGGGGCCGGGGGCTAGGCTCCCCCAACAGCTCATTCACCCACCGCCCCTGAATTGCTCTTTGAAAACACTGTAGGTAAAAATGGAGGTGAAAAATGTAATGAAAAGTCCGGCAAAGAGCTAATTTTGAGGGGGGCAAACCAGATATTTTTCCTGATGATTAAAAAATATTAAATTTCAACTAAGTGTACGTTATTTGAACGGGTGTTTCTCGGCCTGTGACAGGTTGATTTGCAATGTCATTCGGCTGCTAGATGCCTCTGTGGACAGAGATACTGGAGCCTGGTCAACAAAGCGGACCCAGCTGGAGCACGAGCTGGGAGCTCGTTTATTTTGGTTGGCCTTGCATAAGGACTGTGCGGGGTTCAGCCATGGTGCATGGGGGACTCTAAGCCATTCCCTGGCTATGTAATGTGTAATGTGGAGTCAAATGCACCCAGTACTTACACACAACAGTGATGGAGAGTGGCAGGGAGGTGGATTTCCCTAGGGTGTTGTGCACCTCACACTGATACTTTCCCCCATCAGCCACCTGGACGCTCAGGAAAGCCAGTTCTGCCTGTGTCCACCCCAGCCGCTCGCCATTCTTGTACCAGGAGAAGTCCAATCCGCTATAGGCGCTGGTGTCCAGCCGGCACGTCAGGGACAGGGGTTCCCCCGTGCTGCGATGAGGGCCTGGGGTGGCCACCACATGCACCACAGGGGGGGCTGCAGAGGAAGCGAATGAGATATGACCTAATGACGCTCCCGTGGGATGGCAGCTGGGGGCTTAGGCGTAGTATGGCATGGGGCGGAGGGGCTCCATGGCTCCACCCCCAGTGCTCTAGCCCCACTCCCATATCCAAGTGGTGGCGAAAGGAGGACCCCTGCCCCCTCCCATTTGTGAACCTGGTTCCACCCCCATGGCTGTGGCCCTGCCCCCAACTGGAATGTCAGTGACAGAAAGACCCCCAATCTGTGCTCTCCT